CCCTCACTTGTGCCCACCCCCCCCCACCAGCGGGTCCCGGGCGTCCACCATGCGCAACCCCTCGTGGACGTTGGTCTCCAGCCACGCCATGACGGCCGGGTCCTTCCACAGGGAGTGGGTCCTTCCCACGTAGAGGGACGTCAGCTGGTTCAAGGCGGGAGGCTGGCTACGGGAGACAGTTGTTATTCAGGGCACTCTCCTCCTTCCCGCCCGCAGGTCCCAGTGCAGGCTGGCAAGGGCTCGTCTCTGCACCGTGCTTCGGCGTGAGAACACAGAGAGAGGAGTCGCGGGCGCCCTGCTGTGCTATTCCCGTCTGCCTTCACCAGTTTTTCTGCCTCCGTCTATTTTGGGGATAAGCATAGCCGTGAGATGAAAGCTAACGCTGCCTTGACCCGAGGGGGAGACCATTCGCGTGTTTAGGAGGACCGTGCGTCGGGGAAATCCAGACCGGTAGGGAACAGCCTGCCCGGGGAGCGCGCACACGTCGTTCTCTCTTACGACACGTACCAACAAGCTTCGGTATGAACTTCTGACCCGTCCACATTAAGGCGAGGTGGGTCTATTAGCGTTATCTGGTGGCCATTATGGAAATCCATTATCAAAGCATCTAACAGCCTACTCAGGAAAACCAAATATTCTCCCCCGCAGCTTCGTAACTCCATTAGCTGCCCGAGCAAGCAAAAGCCCCGCTACCGGCGAAATCGATTCCTTCTCTCTACTGAGAACGTCTCCAGGGCTTACCTTATCTGAGCGTTCAGCCCGAAAAAGGAATGGGACGCGACCCTGGCGTCGGGCTGCACACTGCAGTGATCCAACAACGGCATCAGAACTGCAGGAGAAAGTCAAGACAGCTCGCTTTCAACAGCCCGGGCGAGGAGCACCACGGAGCGGCCGGTCACCGCAGCCGGGGCTGCGGAGAGACAGCCCCACCCTGGGGGGCCAGCGCCCCAGCGGGGCGCCGACCGAGGACCCACGCAAGGAGGGTGCGAGGACGCTGCTGGGGGTTATGCTGCGTTTTGATCTCTGCGTGGGTGACGGAAACAGATCCAGAGTAAACGAAAGAGAACAAACAAACTTCCCCCCCCCAGTGAAATAAAGTGCAATTTTCTGCACTTAACGCTGCTGGCCTTTGAACTGGAACACGGGTTTTATTTCAGTCACCACGACAAGCAGCAAAAAAGATGGTTTCAGCCAACACAAACTAAAGCTCTGAGAGCTGGTTATTCCTGCCTATAAAGACACACCCTCCTCCGGGCCCGGGGGGGCTGTGTATCTCCTTTCATGGACAGCAGCACCAACTGGATGAAAGCAAGTGCGACGGGCGCCCACAGAGAGCACATCTAAAGCAGAGCAGTGCCTCGGAGGGAAAGCCAAGAGAGACTTGCTGTCTCTGGTCTGGGCAACCCCGGGGTGAAACACTTTCCTGCTCCGAGACTCCGGTTCTCACCCTCCCCCTCCCCGCACGCCTGTGACCGTCTCTAACGAGGGGGCATCAGCTGCTCCGAGGAGGGGGCGCAGCAGGGAGAACAGTCTCTGATCTCGTCCTAACGTGCGGGGGGCTCACGGCTGCGGGGGGCTCACGGCTGCGGGGGCCCTGCCC